AAGAGGAAAATAGACTGAAAATAATCCAATTTACTCTCCTCTTTATTTTGCTCTTCCTTCTTTCCGTTCTGGCTTGCTGCCTGATTTGTGATCTCCATCAGCAGGGGCAGTTGAGCACCCCCATTCCTGTATCCCGAACATCCCGCAGCTTCTTACCACAGCATGCGGGTCTCAGTTTTGATCTAAGAACACTCAAATACCGGGCAAAGAAGGAAATCTGCGGTTCTGCGGGGCCTAACGAAACACCGGATCACCGATGTCCGTATTTCTGAGCAATTCCGGCGGATTTGGGACACCCCGGTGATGGCGCGGGGGTGACTCCGAGCCGCTCCTCACCTTGTGCAGAATATCCGCCAGCAGCGCGGAGTCCGGCGCGGTCCGCAGGCTTTGTTCGAGTTCCTAGAACAGGATAAATAGATAAATAAATAAATTAACAACGCCGNCCTGTCCTGCAGTTCTTCACTCTCACCTCCAGCTCAGACACCCGTGCTGGGGCTGAGCAGGGCTTTATGCAGAGTTTCTCTTGCCTCTGCGAGTTCGCCCTTTAGAATCAGTTGTCTGGCTGTTATCCTTGGGTCTTGAGCCTCCTAAGGCTGTTGGGTCCCAGTGTCTCATTAAGACCCCTGGATTTTGCTGCATGTCAGCTCAGCTGCAGCTGAAGCATCTCAGCCTCCAGATCCTGGATGCAGGAGCCTTAGAGGATGGAAAAAGCTCTGTACTTGCCAGCCTCTCCATTTACTGAGCTCTCTCCTTTCCCTGCTCCTGGGGTGCATCCCCCCAAGAACCAGGAAACCACTGTTCAGGGTGATCATCCGTGGGCCTGTTAGAGGAGATGGGATAATGTGAACGTTGTGTTCGAAATGTCAGACTGTTTCCTCCAAGCTGGGGATCTCAGTGGAGCTTGGCTCTCCATAGGCCCGCAGGCCTGGGATGCGGCTGGGTGGGTTCCCATGGTCGGACAGAAGGTTTTGTGGGAATCGCTCCATGCACGTGGCCTGGGGCACTGGTGCAGGACACTGCTGCACTGCTGTGGGTGGGTCAAGAGCTGAGGGAGACTGGGAGATGTGTTTGGAGAGAGCCAAGGTGGAGGTGAGGGGTGCATATCCCAGACTGGCTCTGAATGCAGAGATCTTGCCACGCTTTGCACGTTGTCACCTGGGACTCGTGCTTCAGGGCTGTGCTCTTCCCTAAACTGGAGCACACCTGCAGTGACAGACTGGCTGCCTGTGACTCTGAGAGCCTGCTGGTGGCTTTTGTCTGGCCATTTTTTGAGATCCTGCTGCACAGCCTGGCTCGTGCCCCTGAGTGCACCAGAGCTGAGCTGTCTGAGCATAACCTGTGCAAGGCATGATTCAAATTACCCTGATTTTATGTGTGTGGGGATATTAACTCATTTCGAGTTGCATCAGCTTCTGTTTGCATCCAAGGCTTTAGGAGTTGGAGGCAGAAGGCAAGACCCAGCATTGCTCCCTTCCCGGGAGGGGTGGAATGGCTGGAGAGCCCTTGGAAGGCCTGATGTGAGTGGCTGGCTTTGCTGAGCCCAATTGCTTTGGCAGGAGGGAGAGCAGCCTCCTCCAGCCTGATGACTTGGTGCATAAGGGAACTGGAGGCGTGGGCCAGGCACGGTGTCTCCTGCATCGGAATAAATCTTGGAAAACAACCCAAAAGTGCTAAAGTTGCACGTAAAAAAGGTCAGGCGGCGTGCCCAGACTCAGAGCTGTCTCGTGGTGGCGGAAGGGCTGGGTGACCCCACAGAGGAGCCTGGATGTCCTCAGCAGATGCACTGCACCCCTCATTCTCCTGCTTGCTCCCCCCTTATCTTTGCTCTGGCACCCTTTATCTGTGCTTGGAATTCTGCTGCCTTTGCAGAGGGAAGTGGCCACGGCCCTGGTGTTCCCTCAGCCAGCTGAGAGCAGTTGGCTTTAACTCGTGGAAAACACTCTGCTCTCTTCTGTCCCAGAGGTTTTGTGGGGGCTTTCCAGGTTTGTGCTGGTTGCACGTGAGATCTGTGAGATCCAGAGAGAGACTCAGACTGTGTCATTTGCCCATGGTCGTGCTGATCCCCGCTGCTGGAAACATCATCTGCTCCTAGGTGGAGAAATGCTGTTTTCCTCCCATCTTCCCACTTCATCTGAATCCAGGCTTGGTTTTTTCTGGCTTTGTTCTGACCCTTCCTGTGAACAGAGGGATCTGGGAAGGACCAGACCCTGTGGCATGTCTCCAAGTGAGGATTTTTGTGAAGCAGAGGGAAGCTGGAGTGAGGGACTGTGGCTGCCTGTGGTCAGAGGAGGCAGATTTGGACAGTGTGTGTCAGCCCAGTGTCCTGCCACCACGGCTCTCTCCCAGTGCCCTGAGCTGGGGAGAACCTTGTGAGCCCCTGTTTTGCTGGAACTTGGGGCTCTGATCAAGGTCACACTCAGCGCAGCCTTGGGTGGGAAAGCTGCTTATGCGGGTGGGACAGGTGAGTCAGTGGCTTCCTCCTCATTTTCCGTCATAATCCCACTCTGGAGCGAATCGAGCTGCCTCCCTGCTCCTCTGCATCTGCCTGTGCTCACCTCAGCCTTGCTGCCTGCTGTTGGAGCCTTCCTGAGAGGCTCCCTGCTCTCCAGGCCACAGTCGCCAGGCTGGGCAGGGAGGAGCAGGCTGCTCCCAATTTCTGTCACATTTGCTGTTTGGAGTGTTGACACTTGCCTTGCGTTTAGCAATGGCAGCTGAGGAAGCCAAGAGAGGCTGAAGAGCTGCTGCCTGCTCACGAGAAACATTTAACTCTTGCCCTCACAGCTCCCTTCCCTGTGTGCTGGCAGCTCTCAGGTTGGCTGAGAGGAAAGAAATGCTGGTGGTGTTCCCAAAATTATTTGGTGTTCAGTTGCTCAAAGGATGAGGAGGTTTTTGTGTGCCATTTCCTCTTGCTCTGGAAGAAAAGAACGCTGGTGCCCTGGTGCCTGGGCAGAAGGGAGAAGGGGGAGCCCTGGCAAGGAAATAGGATCCAGAGAAATGTGTCACCAGCAGAAAGAGCAATTGTTTTCCTGCATTTCCATGGCAGAGCCTTGTCCTGTTGAGGCAGCCCGTGTTTGACAGCCAAGATAATACATTTATATTGATGTAATTAGCGGGACGTGGAGTTTGCTGAATGGCTCGGGGGCAGCCTGCTTTTCAGACTAACTCCAGCAAATAGATCAGGGAGGATTGGAAAGCTGCCGTGGGTTGCTGGAATTGGCCCGTTGGGTTTCTGGAGGTTGAATACATAACTGCTGATATTTCCTATTGTGCTGTACCCTGCCTATTTGAAAAGAAAATAACTCAAGGGAACATGGGGCTATTTTTGCCAGCTTGAGATGATCAAGTTTGATTTCTAAAAACTGAAGCCGAGTCTTTAGGCTTGCACATTAAAACCAGTGTTGGAACCATATCTCTGTTCCTCCACAAATGCGTGCCTCCACACTTTGCCAACGGTGTGAACTCTAATGAGTGTTCATAAAAAAAGAAAGCTTTTCTGTTCCTGCAGTGCAGCCCCTTTTGTAGGAAATGCTGTGGGCCTGAGCAGGCTCAGCACCAGGGATGGTGGCAGTGACACAGTGTCAGGGGACAGAGCTGCTGTCCTGCCCCAGCCCTGCGTGAGCAGCCCTGATAACCTCAGGGTTATCAGTGCATTCTCAATTTGGTGAAATAGAGACCAAGACCTTACAAAAAGCTGTTGTCCTCCTCCAGTGATGCTGCCCAGCTCCATTTCTAATGTGATGCTTCCAGTGGCACCAAAGTTTCCCCTTCAGTTCCAGCCCAGGTGATTTCAGTTTACTGAGGATATCACAGGCAGCTTCCCAACTTGTGTCCTGCTCCTGTAACAAAAAGAGAAAGTTGCTCATGGACAGCTTTGCTGGCAGCAAATCCCCTGTGTTTGTGCTGGTCTGTGGAAGTGGGAGCACAGCACCAGGGTCTTTGTGTGCTGAGCTCTGTGCTCAATCCACAGAGGCTGCAGCACTGGTGTGATCAAGGTCTTGCTCTCCAGCTTGCCCCTTGTCCGCTTCCTGCAGACTCAGGCCAGCAGGCAGAGCTCGGGAAGTCCTTGGAATTCCACCCCTGGCCAGCAGGTCTGTGCTGAGCTGCTGGGTGCTGAGTGCTTTCCCTTCCTATCCCCTGCAATGTGCAGGGATACTGATGTGATGTGGCACTTGGGGATGCTCTGGCTGCTGGTGTTGGTCTCCCTGCCTCGTTAGCTCTCCTGGATCTCCTGCCTTTCGTGCAGTGAAGTGCCTTGGAGGGGCCGTGGGCCTGGAATTCCCTGTGCAGCTGCACAGACCCTTGGGCTAAAAGGATCAGGGTGGTCCTTTTGAGCCTGAAGGATTCCTGAATCAGTCCCTTATTTACTCATTACTGCTCCTGAGTGCTGTTCCTGGCCCGTTCTGTACACCCTCCCTCAGCAGCACCTGTCCAGGTGTTCAGCACAGGGCACCTTCTCCCCACTGCCTGGAATTGTCAGTGCTGGAAGAGAAAAGCTCTTTGTGAATTCACCATCACCTTCCCCAGGGGTATCACACTGCATCTGATGGTGTGGCTGTGGGGATGGTGAGCAAGGTGAGGGGGCACAATGGGGTCCCTTGCTCTGCCATGCTGCTGAAGAGGCTCGCTGATCACATGGTGCCAGCTGAATCCTTATTTCTGTCCTCCCTCCCCAGCCTAAAATAGAGGAAGTGAGAGTGTGCTGGAGAGCCAGACACTTAGGGACAAGGGTTCTTGTTGCCTCCATCTGCTAAAAGCCGGTCCCAAAGGAGACAGCACTTCCCCAAAGCAGGAATTTCACAGAAACAGGTTGTTTTGAGAGCACAGAGGAGGAAGGGGAAATATCTCAGAGGAGGGAGCTTTGCCGAGGCAACTATCAAACGTCATGGCTTCTGGGGGTGGGATGGGCATGTTTGCCATAATCAGAGGAATTTGTACTTGAGAATCTCCAGGAGATGTAGCTGGTAATGATGTCCTGGCTATGCAGAGTAATTAACATCTGTTTCTGTATTTGAACATTCAGGCAGCGTGCCCCGCCAGACATCGCTGCGTTCCCGTCCGGCCCCTCGGGAGATCCTGCCCTGTTGCTAATTGTGGAGAGCTGTCCAGAGTCCTCCTGCACGTGATCCTGCTGTGCCCCATCCTGCTGTGCTCCTGAGGTGTGCCATCCCTGCTCTGATGACAGCTCCCACCAGGATGCTGAGCAGCAGCCGCCGGCAGGGAGGGAGGCCAGTGGTGGGCACGGAACTGTAAAGTCACAGCCAAGAGTTCTGAGAGCACGAGTGAAGAGTCTGAGCTGACCCAAAAGCTGTCTCCAGGGGGGACCAAGCTCCAGCTGGATGTCCTGGGAAGCTCTGCAAGCTGGAGTTCAAGGGGATGCTGATTGAGGGACCAAAAATGTGAGGTTGGTTGTCTCTGCTGGTGCCATGCTGATGGGTGTGGAGTCTCAGCAGTCATCTATTCTTACATGCCTTTTTTCACTCTCTGTCCAGCAGCTTGGGGACAGCAGCTGCTCCTGCCAGGCTTGGTGTGCTCCCAGTGCTCGGTGCAGGGACCTTCTAGCATGCTCCTCCAGCCAGGCCTCTCAGTGGGTGCCAGCAGCAGGACACCAGGCTGACCCTCCAGCGACCAGCACTGCCCCTGCCAAGCAGGAATCGTGTTGGGTGAGAGGCTTTTCTGACTCAGCTGGCACTGGGCTGGGCTGGGAGGGGCTGCAAGGAAGGAAGGAGACCTTCTCTCCTCTGGTTGTGAGCACAGTTACCCTGCTTCGTGTCTCTCATGCCTCTCGTTCTTGTCTTTCTTCCTTGTTTGAATTCCTCCTCTGAGTGTTTCTGTGCTGGCTGTGCAAAGGCTATGTGCTTAAATGGTGGGAATATCAATGTCCTCTGGTTTCCTCATGTGAAGAAGGAACTGTGAAAGTGGAAGAGAAGTTGTGGGGTCTTCCAGCACCTCGCAATCTTAATCTCACGTGGCTGTGCCAGGATGTGTTTGAGGCAGTGCAAGGGCAGGGCAATAAATGAAGAAACTCTGCATGGGTTTGCCTGCAGTAAGCACAGAGCTGTGGCAGTTCCCAGCCCAGGGACAGAGAGGTGACTCTTGTGCCTTGTGTGGCTGGGAATTGAGAGCCTGGAGGCAGGACAAGGTGCTGGGAAGCCAGTCTGAGCTTGGACCATCAGGATGCATTTGCAGTGTGTGATGGTGTTTCCTTGGATTCAGATGATCCAGGCTGATGTGGCCTCATCCAGGCTGGGGCTTTGGATGAATCAGATGGACACTGGTGCTTGCTGTGTGGTCTGGCCTGGCTGGTTGTTATGGACTAGCTGGAATCTGTTTGTGTTGTTGATGCCCAGCCACAGCAGAAGGTCTGCAGGAACCTCTCATGGCTTTGGTCAGTGAAGCTGGGCCATGAGCACTCTGGTGTTTGGCTGGTGACTGTCACCAGGCAGGTGTTGGTCACATCTCCACCATGGCTCCTTCTCTTGGCTGAGAGGGATGAGGTGGTGCTCCTGCTCTGGGATCTGTTTTGATGCAGCCTTGGAATGGCTTCCAAAAGCTCCTGACCTTGTTCCTGTTGCCTGACCTTGCCATGTCTCAGCAAGCAGAGCCTGCTGGAGGGAGCCTGGGGGTCTGCAGCACCACACAAGGCTCAGGCCTGTGGATGTGCCTTGCAAGGCATGTGGGAGTGGCTCCAGTAACATGAGCTGCTCTCCATCTGCCCTTTTGGTTCAGGATGCAGCCAGCAGCCCTTGGTTAAAGCCCTTGGTTAAAGCTCAGCTCCCTCCTCGTGCTGGAGGTACCTCACATGGCTGCCTGGCTTTGCTCCACCATTACTCAAACCATCTGCATTGTGTTTCAGCCCTCTCAGAGTACAGCCTTTTCCTCATGTGACCATTGTGTTTGTTCAAATGACTGTTCCTAGAAAATACTGCTTAAAGTGTGTGTAATTGAACACATCCTACAATTCCAGCTGCACTGGTGTAGCTGAAGAGGAGCCACTTTGATGGAGACAGTGAGCCAGCAGAGCTACTCTGGTGAGGAGAAGGGAGGTTGTGGTGATCTCAGGCACTGTTTTGTTTGTATCACTTCCTTGTGCCAGGTGTTACTCCACACCTGTAATTTCAATACAGGATAATCTCCTAACAGAAGCAATGGCATGGCTGCCACATGAGTGTGCAGAAGGATTGATGTGTTTTTCAGGTGTCATCTGGAGGTGAAGAGGTGGTGAGCAGTAATGTGCTGCTTTCTTATTAAATGATTGTGCTGAGCTGTGCTTCCCTGCTGCTCAGAGAAGCTGTGGCTGCTCCATTCCTGGAAGTGTTCAAAGCCAGGTTGGATGGAACTTGAAGCAGCCTGGGATAGTGGAAGGTGGCAGGAGGTGGTAGGAGGTGGGATTTAAAGTTCCCTCCAACCCAAACCATTGTGTGATTCTGATTCTAGATGAGGAACTTCCTCTCTGCCCTCTGAGTCTGTCCCACCTTCCTCTTCTCTCCCAGTTCCCTGTGCTCCTGGGGAAGGCAGGGGCCTCTTGTGCAGCTCTCAGCAATTATTGTGCTTTTATCTCTTGGTTGTTTGTGATGGAAATGCCAAATGGCACCATTGTCTGACAGCCTTCTTCCACCTCTGCGCTTGCCTGAGGCACAGCTAGAGATGTGTTGGCTTAAATCTAGGCCAGTTGGATGGAAATTGGGACGTGGTGCCTGATGAAAGCCAGGGAAGGCCAAACTGCATTAGAATGGCAGAAGGAGACAGCCAGGTGCTGCTGCCTGTGTGGCTTGGGCACTGCAGTGTGGACTGGAGCTGTCTCTAGGGAGGGATGCAACTGGATGTGTCTTGGGCAAATGATATATTTACTGTCTGTGTAATCTGTGGTAGAATTACAGCTGTGACTGCAGTGTCTGGGGACAGTGTGCTCAGGGGACATCTCCACCTCTCAAGCTTTGCTTTCCAAGTCTGTGCCCTGAGTTTTCTCTGGCTCTGAGACTGTTTCTTGCTGCAGTTCTCTTCCCCTCCCTTCTGCAGTGGCCAGCCCTTCATCTGCTTATCTGTCAACTTAGCATGAGCTGAAGATACAATCCCTGCTGTCCTTTTGGGAATGACCTTGTGTCTGTGCTATGTCTGGGCCTCTATGAATTTGGGTTGCTGAGTGATGGGGGGAAGGAACTTCATGGGTCATCAAGTCCAGTTCCATGCTGCTGAAGATGGGCAGTCATCTCATGCAGGTCATGAACTCGTCCAGGAACTAATTATTGGAACTCATGTTGTGCTTTTTTCCCCAGTGCTTCTGGAGCAGCTGGTCCAGAGGTCTGCTCTTGGAAAGGTTAGAAACCCTCCTCAGCTTCCAGTGTCCACTTTTCCTGGGTTGGTTTGCTGTGCCTGTGTCATTGCAGAGTGTTAGCTTGCAGATGAGATGATGACTTGCACATTTTTTTCCTTCCCTGGTTCCCTGTAACCTTTATGTCCTGCAGCAGTTGTGGCTCTGGTTGGAGATCTGTCCTGAGAAATGTGCTGAAGGCTGTTTTGTTTCCCCATTTGGGCAGCTTGGGTTGGCTGGGCCCATTTGTTTCCTTGTTGTGCTTTTGAGTGTTTCAAGTGCAGGTGGAGCTGTGAGCTGCACAGTTTGTGAATGTTAGCGAGCACAGAAGAGCACTTTGTGTGCTGCTGTCATTTCTGTCTTTTCTTTTTTAATGTTTGTCCTTGCTACTTGTGCCACCTTGCCCCTTCAGGAGGGAGAGATGTCAGAAACATTTGAATCAAGGTGAAGCTGATAAAGCAGTGTATTGAAGAACCAGTGCCTGGCTCTTACTCGTGGCTCTTATTCATGTTTATCTCTAGCTGTGAATGTGCAATAACAACAGTTCTGTTCAGCACAGGCTGGCACAGCCTCAGACAGGAAGATCTGCTGTTTACCAAGCAACACTCTGCTATAAGTGAGAAAGAGGGGAAAAAAGTGGTTTATTGCTGCTGGGTAGCTCAGAGTGTAGTTAAACCTTTCAGAAAAAAGAGGAAACGAAGAGCACATGTGTTACTCAAGATGCATTTTTCCTGGCAAGAGTCCCATGTGTGTGCTCTTCTTGCAAAGCATCCCTGCGTATGCTCCTTCCCATTCAATCCTCAGCATATTGGGAGCAGGCAGGCAAGAGCTTCCTGTTTTTATAATGCAACTGGTCTCAGCAGGCAGTCTGTCGAGGTGATTTTTCAGCCTGACATCTTTTGTAGCTGGGGCAGCCTGCGAGCTGAGTAGGATGGCAGAACTCTGCTGCGAGGATTATAAACACGGGGAGGAAAAGATCTGGAAATGAGATCTGCTGCTGAAGCTTCCCGGGATTGGATGCTGTGCCTTGTGTTGTTTTGTTCCTTCCCCTGTGAGTGTCCCTGTGGCTTTTCCTCGCTGCTGGTGCAGGGAGGGCCCTGCCAGCCCACCCACGCCGTGCTGAGCTCCGGAGTCCCCACAATTGGCCGCGAATTGCGGGACACACGCGGCTCGCTGCACTTCAATGGAGCAGTGTTAATTGACTTAATAGAGCCCTGGGCTTGGAGGGATTTCGTTGTGTGGGTTTTCTTAAACGTGTGTGCACTCAGACCCTTCTGCAGCAGCGCCCTTGTTGCCATTTTCACGCTGTTCAGAAACTGCTTCGCAGTTGTCAATGGAGATGAGGTTTGAAGTTAACCCTTATTTTGAAAAATCCTTCCTTCTTCTCTTTTTCTCCCTCCAGCTTGTGATTAAGATGCTGATTGCCCTTTCAGATCTGTGTAATCCCCTCTCTCAAAGTGACCGGGATAGATTTCCAGGAGCTCCCTGGATTATCTGTCACTGCTTTAGTGTCCAGTGCAAGGGAGGAGAGGAAACTTAGTTCAGACTTGCATGGTAGTTGCTGTGTGGCCAAGCTGGCTCTGCAATACATCTGCTTTTCCTATCAGTCTTTCACTTCACACTTCAGACACCTCTTCCTCTGCCTGCACACTTACAGAGTCAGTGCTGTGCATTAAATGCAGCTTAGCCCAATTCAGCTGCTGTGTATGAGTTTCTTCTGGGATAAAGTTGAGCCAGAACTAGTTTCAAAGCAGCTGAAAGAAGGTAAAGACCCTCAGGCTTACCTTTGCATGTTGGTGTCTGTGGCCAGAGACCTGTGCTGCTGTTCTGGACTTTGTGGCATGGATTGTGAGATCCTGTTCTGTGCTGGTCTGGGACTCCAGGTTCAATTATCTTGTTACCTCATTAATAACCCATCTGGAAATCTGCTTCCAGACAGTTCACTTCAGCTAGGGATATCTCTGCAAGTGATGTACTGGTCTTATTTCTCACCAAGACCTGCAAAACAGCTCACTTAAAGCTTCCTGTCCCCTCAGTTTCCTGCAAGGCCACAATATCTGACTCTCTTCCCTCAGCCCTCTGCCCCAGAACAAACATTTGGGCGGGTGAGTTTCACCCTTCTCTCCCTTTTCTGTGTCCTCCCATCTGCAGTGTTTACAAACTGCCTGTCATCCTCGTGCCTTGCACACCTCAAGGCTCCTTGGCCCTGGCAGGTAAGGCAGAGCTTTCTGAGTCACAGAGCCCTGGGGAGCTCTGTGTGGAGGACAAGGGCTGGAAAAGCTCCTCCATCCCAGCTGAATGTGCCAACCACTGTCCCATCCCTCCAGCTGTACCCCTGCCTCAGTCTGTCCTTGGAGTTGCCTTCCCACCCCTCCCTGGTAGAAGCTTTGCAAGGAATTGGAACTTGCTGACACCTTCATTTCCTGCCAAGACTGCAGCACTTGGGCTGGCTTGGCAGATGAGGGCAGGGAGAAAGAACAGCAAAACTTTGTCTTGTCCCCAGCTGTGTGCAGGACACCTGCTCAGCACAGAGTGTTCCAGCTCTCCTGCTGCACTTGAGCCCTGGAGCTCTCGTTGGGTTGGTGTTTGCAGCTTGGGTTTCAGTGCTGTGTCTGCCTGACGTGGGTGTCTTGTTGCTTGTTTGTTCTTCCCCTGCTGCCTTGTGGAAAAAAGAGAGGATTTTTCACTTCCTCTCCTGGGGTTGCTGCTTTTCTCAGGGTCATCTCAGCCTGGTGAATTCCAGCCATGCTGTTTTTGCTGCTGGTGCCTGGTTTTGCACATCCTCAGGCCCTGCCACTCTGCCTGGAGCTGGGGGCTGGCTGGATCACACAAATGCTTGAGCTCCTTTTGCTTGCTTGGCTAGCAGAACACCATCAGACACCCCCATTTGCATTCTTAGCTATCCCAACCTGCTCTGGCACTTTATAACCTCCTTAGGCTGCCACATCCCGTGCTGTGCACCTTCCAGCCCTGCACACCATTCCCTGCTTGCCCTGGCCTCCCTGGGCATGTGCCTCCTTCAGGGCAGATGTGCTGTGCATGGAGGCAGCCCTGGTGGGAGGCCAAGGCTTGCCCATTCCTCCAGGATGTCTGAAGTGCTCTCCTCCAGCTGGATTCCCCCCTGCAGCCCCAGCTCCTCCAGCTGTCCTTGGTGTTGAAGGGTGTGAGTCACATCCTGCAGTCCCCAGGGAGGAGGCTGCTCCTCCAGGGCTGTGTGTGGGCACTGGACAGTGCGAGCTCTTCAGGAGCCCTGGCTTCTCCCTGCCAGCAGCAGCTGACAGGGGGCTGAAGGCAGAGAGCTCCTCCTTGGCTGGTGATGGTGGTACCAGCTCCCAGCACATCTGGATCCCCAGGGAATGGTCATGGCCCCCAGGCTGCCAGAGCTCCAGGAGTGTTTGGACAATGCTTGCAGGCACAGGTGGGATTGTTGAGGAGTTCTGGTGCAGACCCAGGAGTTGGACTTAGGATCCTTTTGGGTCCCTTCTAACTCAGGATATTCTGTGGATCTCAGTCAGCCCCAGGCAGAGGAGCTCCCACAGCAGAGGGAGGAGAAGGGCTGGTACTTCACCTTCAATCTCCTGCAGCTTCCTCTGGGCACAGCTTTGAGGGCTGTGTTTCCCTCAGGTACATGGTGAGCCTTCTCCTGGGCCAGCTGCTGGCCCTGACCTCAGACCAGAGCTGTCTGATCTCAGTGTGTCTGATGGTATTTTCATTCCTGGATCTTCCCTGGAGCAAGGGAGTAGCTCAGAATTGACTTGATTTATAGGCTGGGGGAGTGGAGGAGTTAATGAAGTGGCAAAGTCTTGTCCCTGAATTTCCAAGGCTGAGAACCAAGGGAGGCTGGAAAATTCAAGCAGGAGCAAAGCTGGCTCGTGCCACGTGGATCAGTAAATTACCAGGAAAAGGAGGGTATGGATATCCCATCACAAAGAGGGGCTGCTGCACAAGGGACCCGCTGGGGTGAGTCTGCCTCCCTGGTTTCCTCAGTGGCTGCAGCAGCTCCAGGGACCTCTGTCTCCTCTTCCTGCTGCGTGCCAAAGAGAAGAATTTGAGGCTGATGCTCGGAAAAGTTGATCCTGCAACTTCCTAGATGCATTGAAACACATGGGCTAGTTCCCTTTTTTCTTTTTTTTTCTCTCTTCAGAGCCAAAACCTGCTTTGAAACTGGAGGGAAGGAAAGGGGGTTGGGTAGATCCCCACCCTTCCTGCCTGCTCTCTGTGACACGAGAGCTGGGGCCCAAGGGTCAGCACTGCTCACTGGTGAGGAGGAATGAGGTTGTGTGGAAGCATCCAGGCAGCTGCTTTGCTGTCCTGGCAGCAGGAAGAGTTCCATGGGACAGCTTTGCTGTCCTGCACACTCTGTACATGCCTGCTGCCCAGGGTGTGGTGCAGAATTTGAGGAAGGGTCTGCATCATGTAGCACAGATCAGGTTAGACAGCTGGAAGTGGCTTGGGGCTGGCAACATCAAACCTGGTTTCATTTTGGAAGGGATATTTTGGGAGCAGTTACCCAGCATCAGTTCAAACCTGGTAATTATTGCAGCTGCGAGGGGCAGAAAACCAAAATCCAAACTCAGCATCTTGCTAAGGTGCTTAACTGATAATTTCCATGAGTGAGATCCACCCTTCTCAAGACACTTCAATCTGTTCACTTCAATCTGTTGTTGTTGCTTCCTCTCCAGATTAGAAAGGTGGAAGCAATGCCTTGTTAATTAGGGGGAAAATTCTGCTCCCTCCTGTCAAGACAGGGGAACTCTTGGCACTTTGCTCCCTTTTGGTGACTGAGGCCTCCCCTGTTCAGCCACATGCCTGCAGGTCATCTCCTGGTGCAGTTCCCTGCCCAGTGGCAGAAATTCCACAAAAATAAGGCTGAGTGCTTCCAGAGTGGCTTTCTTCTTCTTTAATGACTCCTTCCCTTTCTGGGGTGCAATTTCCATTCTCACCTTGACTTCTTGGAGGCTTCTCATTTGCTTAGTGTTGGCCAAAGGCGTTTCGGGGCTCAGCATGGTGAGCACGTAGGTGCTTTGCATTGGGCTGGAACCTGCTGCCACTCCTGTTCTCAGACTGGTTTACCCTCTCCCCACCTTTGGGCAACGCTCCCCCTTCAGTATCACTCATTGGCTGCTCTCACCTGGCATGAGGATGACCCTGAGGAGAAGGATTTACTGCTTTGCCTGGAGAAATCCGATTTCACGCAGCACTCGCAGCCAAGCAGCCCAGTTAGACCAGACAGTCTCGGAGATCACTCCGACTTAGCTTGGTTATCCTCCACCTATTTATAGCTCCTTTCCTCTCCCAGCTCCACCCAGTGTGGAGTTTTACTGCAGGTTCTGAAGCAGGGCTCCCAGCCTTTCCCCACTGCAGAGCACAGCTGCCTGTGCTGGCTCCTGGAGGACAGCAGCACCACAGTGGGAGCTGGCAGCGATGCGGGCAGCAGGCATGTCTGCCTCCTCTTGGGATGAGCTAAAACTGGCATTTCCATGGGCAGCTGGAGCAACCAAGGGTTCTGCTTTACCAGCTTGAGGAAGTGATCTTGAACCAGGCTGTGGAATTGCTTTATGTGGCAGTTTAACCCAACTCACGGGGGAAAAGGCTACTGATGCCTGGTCCTTCCTCTGATTGGCTCAGCCTGCACTGAGGGGCTGTTCTACCCACCTTGCCTTTACTTACCTATTTTATCATGATAGAACCTGAGGTTTTGAGGTAAGAGTCAGTTTGTTCTTCTAGTATGTGTCAGAGTTGCATCCCCTGTGCCTTTGGTGCTGGGATGGGATGGGGTGGAAGAGCCAGAGACACCACAGGTGTGGGATGACTGATGTCTCCAGATAGACTGATGGTGTTTGGAAGTGCTCTTCTCCTCACAATGTGTGGCTTTCATTTAGCCAGAAAATCAGATTTGTTACAAATTAACTGCTTGAATAGCAGGAAATGAGAAGGGATGTGCCAGGGATCCACTTTGGGTGGATGTGCAGAAATCAGTCAAACCTTGCTGTTGGGTAGTGAGGATGGGAGAGCTGATACACAGCAGGGAGACAGCCCAATTAAAACAAGGAGGAGTTAAGGAAAACTGTGTTCTTGGACTTTTTGAGATTTGTTTGGTTCATCCAGGCTTTGCAGGCTACAGAGACCATGACGGAGCAGTTAACATTCTCCAGTTAATGACCTTATGCAGGCACATTCTGGTATTGAGCTTGTAACAAAATTGCACCTGTTCTTTGAGCTGCTCCTTTTGGGAGTCTATTATCTATCAAGGCCTTTCTTGATCCCTTAGATCAATCCTGGGATTGAAAAGCTGTATTTTAGGACTCCTCATCTCAGCCTTTTTACGGCAAAAGTAGTTTCTTTGCAAAGGTCTTTCTGTGGTTCATTCATCTCCTTAAATCCTGGTGGGTAATTGAATAAGCTCAGCTGTGCTAATTTTCCCATCTTCCTTGTTTCTTCTTTTTTGCTCTGTTAAATGTTACCTTGATCCACTGCTCCTGACATGCATCCAGATTGTCCTGCCTTTTTACTTGAAGGAGAGACGTGTGTGTGTTTCAACTTCTTTTAATACAGAGGACATGAAATGTTTCTGAAGTTTAATTGTGAGCATGCTTGAAGAATAAATTCTGAAAAGTAGGAAAGAGAGAGGGAGAAAAGGAGGAGCAAAGCCCCTAGACCTCCTTCTGTGGGTAGGGGCGTGCTCAGGATCAGCTAAAACTTGCCTTGGGCTGAAAGTAAATAGTCACAGAAAATACTTGTGCAGATCCCCAGTGTGTCCAGTTCCAGTCCTACTGGGGTGTTAGTGGGAAACAGGAAAAGAGGAATATTTTATTTTACACGTAAGCACACAAACCATCCAGTCCTTGTAGCTGAGTCACTAGAACTGGTGTGCCAGTCTAACCTGGTGTGTGTGGTCCCCAAGGGCTGCTGGTTTGGGCTCCAGGTGTGCCTGGCTTGTCCCGTTTTCTGCTTCTTTCCTGTGTGTGAAGGGCTTTGTGCTGGGTTCTGCTGTGCTTCCCTCCATCAGTCAGTGCTTCCCTGTGCTTGGGAGCTCCTGGTGCTTAACTTGAAGGGAGCCTTTTCTAGAGCCCCCACACTCCCCCTGTCCAGCAGCAAAAGCTGATTCAGTGACACAGCCCTTCCCTTCCCTTTCCAGTGAGCTCTGGGACGGGGACCCTGCTCAGAGCATGCATTGATAGGCTTTAAAACTGGAGCGTTGTTGCTGAAATCGTACCTTATCTTTCTCTCTTTTTCTTTCCTTTTTTTCCCCTTTCTCTGTGTTTGTTTGTTGTTTTTTTTTTTTTCTCCAACTGTGATCAGAACCGACCCTCCTTTGTCCAGCGTGCTGGGATCTGTGCAGCAGCCCATGCCGCAGCGCCTCGCCCGTCCCACGCGAGCTGCCCATGCCGCTGGCTGCCAGCTAACCTAGGCTCAATCTCGGCGTGGCGGGCAGGGGCAGCCATGGGGAGCTCTGCCTCATCGCTGGCCGCAGAGACGGAGTCGGACCATGGCTTCAGTAGCTCGCCCTACGCGGGGCACCCGGCCGTGGGCTGGTATAGGAGCAGCCCCGGCGGCCCCGTGTGGGAAAGTGCCCTTATAACGCGGCAGCAGCAGCACTTCCAGCACCGGCTGCGCAGGTAAGGACGAGGGGAGGAGCCTGCTCGCCTCTCCCTGCTCACTGCTCACCTCAGCTTCAGCCCCGCCGCTGCCTCTGCCACACCGGCTGCTTTGCATCCTACTCAGCGTTGGGTCCCTGCATTCAGAGGCTCAGTTCAGTTCCTCGGGAAGCCAGAGCTAAATTCCCGCTGATTTGAGTGGTGCCAGACCCTGGCTTTACGTGGGAGGCTGATGTCTCGTGCAGAATGGGCTGCAGGACTCATCCCAGCTCTTCCTCCCTCACCTGAATTGTCAAGGTGGCTGCCTGGGAATGGGATCTCAGTTCCTTGTTTGCCATGTTCTCGTGGCTCCTTTTCTTTCTGGCCTCCCAACCATGCTGTAGTGTCACAGGTGGAGGATTGTGTCACCAGACTGGGTGGAACCAAGTTGCAAGAGTTTCTGAACTTGGAAGAGCCAGAGAAGCTGTTTTCATGCAAAAGCAGTGAAATGCTTTTGAGTAACAGATCCACAGGAATGAAACACACCAAAAAAAGAATTACCCTTAAAAACAGATTAGTGTTTCCAGCCCTCAATTCCTATCCCACCTTGATGAAATCAGCATCTCACATGTGTCTGTGAGCTGTTGCCTCTGCCCCTTCTGCATCAGCCACTTGCAGTGAGGAGTTTCACTTGTTTTGGGGGGCTGGTGTCCTGCATTCAGTCTCTGACAAGTTGAGAGATTTATCAAAAAGCATCCAACACCCCTCTGCCCGAGGGCTTGGCTGTAGAAGCTGCTGTGTTTTGTGCTGATAACGTTTGAGCCTTTGCCTAATGCCTGCTTTGTGAGGACTCCAGCCTGGATGGGTGTCCATACCTGCCTGAGTCTGTTTGGAGCTGCTGGTCGTTGAGGAGTAGCTGCTTGCTGAGTGTCCCTGAGCTGTCCTGGCTTTCCCCTGGAGGTGTTTGCTGTGATGTTGGTGCAGTATCTGTGGTGCAGTCCTTGTTTTCCTGCCTTCTGCTGCTTCAAGGCCCAGGCTGTGCTTCCTGGGCTCTGGTGCATGACTCTAGAGCCTCCAGCAATGTCAGGTTTTGCTCCTTTCTTGGGTCTTCTTGTTGAGCTGGGAACAGTGTGAAACCAATAAGTTGTTGTCTTTACTCTCTAGCATAGACTTGAGTACTTTTAAAAAAGATATTTTGTGCAGTTGCCAAATTTTGTTGCTGTGTGTGCCAACCTGTGTGGCTGATCCACAGCTCTGCTTGGTCATCTGTGCTGTGTGGATTTGTCCCCTCTGGTTTAGAGGGATTCTGCAAACAGAGCAGGGTCCTTCCTGCAGGATTATCCCTTCTGGACTGCTGGTTATCCCTCTGTTGCCTTGAGGAGCTGGGAAGGTGTCTCAGCTCACAGATGAACTCCTAGTTTGGCTGTGCACAGCCACAGCTGGAATTTAGGAGCTTCCAGTGTACACCTGGCCCTGGGCACTAAAAAAGGCAGTGTGTCTGCAGCTGAGGCTGCTCGTGGCTCCAGGTCTGTAGTTTGAGGAACTAAGTGATATCTTGACATGTGGAAATAAATTTCCTGAAGAACCAGCCTTGGTGGTGGAGCGGATGTGGGGGCAAGAACAGGAACTGCCGGTCTTGGCGCAGATAACGCCGGTGTCCTGTGGGGACAGGAGTGGCTTTTGTGATAATTCCTGATTCCCCTGCTAAAGGGAGAGCAGAGCTCATCCCCACTCAGTGTGGCGTGGTTCCTGCAGACAGGAAGAGCAGGGGCTGTGATTCACTGAGCTGAGCTGCGTGGGAAGAACTCGCTGCAGGCACTGGTGATGGAAGTGGGTTCAAAAGCCCTGCTGAGATCAGCCAGGCTGCCAGGCATCAAAGGGCCGCCCTCCCCGGGAGCCCCAGGGCCCAGCAGCAGTGGGGGATTGGTTTCCAGAGAGGAACAGATAAATATATTCCTTTAAAAAATTAAGTAAGTCAATAGAACAAGTCAGGGTAGGTATCCTGCCTGTGCATGTCCTCGTCCCCGGAGTCCTGTCGTGTAGGAAGGAAGTGGAGTACCGGGGAGTCAATTTGAAGCTGGGCAGGAGCTCTGGGATAGACTTTGCTTTTCCTGCTGCTTTTCTGTCCCTGCCTGCAGCCACCTTCAAAGCTGATAATGCTTTGGCTGCTGTGGAGCAGCACAGAGCCAAGCTGCTCTGAGCTGTCTCAGGGATGAACACAAACCTTCCTTGGCAGGAAAACAGGGACACAAATAGTGAGTGAGTGACTTTGGTCTGTACTTGATTGGGGAGCTGGGGGGGTCATCCCTTATGGTGGGATGGGAATAAGGGGAGAAATCAGTTCTGTTTGGCTTTCAAGATTTAGAACCTGGGGGGAGGCTTCAGTGTCTCCTGTTGCCTGGGTGAGGCTGATGGTGTGGAATTCCCTGTGTGCTGAAGACAGGGAGACAAGAGGGAGTAGAAAAGGGGTCTTAGTGGTAGAAGCAGCAGACTTGTGACAACCAGATTAGTCTTTTCTGGACAGGGCTGCACAGGCTCTTTCTGTGTGTCAGGATTTAAACAAGAGTCTGTCCTTTTCCCAGCATGCCAGGAGGACAAGTTATTGAAAGACTGGAGGTACCAGGTATTAGGTGCATGTTGGAGGGATCTGATTGCAGAAATCTCTGCTTAGGGCAAAGATGGGTTTAAATTCACCCCTGGTAGCTGTGTGCAGCCAAATTCTGGCTCAGCTACAATGAGCTCTGTCTTGCTCATGTGCTTGAGGGTGCTTGGCCTGGGCTGTTGTGGGGTGGGAGGGTTCAGCTGAGCCAAGAGATCCATCATGGCCAAGATCCCAACGTGCCAGACCCTTCCTGGAGCTGGGAGCAGGAAGGGGCAGTGCCACAGGCTTGGTGCTGGCAGCCGGACATGGCTCCAGTGCTGTGGCTGCCCCTGTGGGATGGTTTGGGAGCTGTGGGATCACAGTGGTTTCCAGGAGTGGTGGCACCTCTCCAAGGTGCATCCTTCACATTGCAAGGGGTTAGGAGGGAATTTGGGCTCTGAGCTGTTTCCTGATGAGGTTTGAGGGGATGTTGCTGTTCACCTCTTCCTCACTCCCAGGATTCATTAAGAGGGTCCTGTTGAGTACTGAGAACTTCTGGATTTTGCTCTTGGGAGAGGCTTTTGGGGAAAGGGTTGCAAGGTCTGTGCAGCTGACCTGGGTGTCTCTGCCCACTACCCACTTTGCCTGAAGCTCTCTGAATTCCCTTCTCTTCCAGAAGATATTCATTTCCTGGGTTTCCTGCAGTGCTCTGCAAAGGATTTTTATTTTCCTATAAAAGCCTTTGCAGAATGAAATACCTCTGGGTCTCAGTGACTGTGGAGGGAGGAACACACTCTTTTATTATTCTTTTATTTTATTATTATGGTATGCTAAAAATATGTAAATCTCTCTGGTTTAGAGGGAGGTGAGGGGACCTGTTTTGTTGTTGGCAGTGGTGGGAGGACACTTGCTGTGCCACCCCCTGCTCCTGAAGCACTCTCACTTCTGGGGAGAATCTCTGGGCAAGCCTGAGTGTCCTGTTTGTGAGCCTTGGCTTAAATCCATGAACAGCAGCAAGTCAGAACTGCTGGGCAGCATCACAGAGGCCTTTTCTGCAGGCTCTAAGTTGTTCTGAGACTGGTGGAGATTTTCCTAGCTGAACTCTGGCACATGGAAGTGTGGCAGGGAGCTGTGGGGAGGAATGTGGCTCTGTGCTGCTCCTTCCTCCTGTGGCACTCCAGCTCTGAGTGCAGCACAGGCAGAAGTGTCTGGAGGACACCAGGACAGTGCTTAGTCTGGAGAAAGGAAGGCTCAGGGAGGATCTTGTGGCTCTGCACAATTCCCTGACAGGAAGGTGTAGCTAGGTGAGGGTCAGGCTCTGCTCCCAGGGAACAGGGACAGGACAAGAGGAAACAGCCTCAAGTTGTGCCAGGGGAGGTTCAGGTTGCATGCTGGGGGGAAAATTCTTCACAGAAAAGGTGGTCAGGCATTGGAATGGGCTGCCCAGGGCAGTGGTGGAGTCACCATCACTAAAGTGTTCAGAAAACATGTGGCACTTGGGGACATGGGTCACTGGTGCTCTTGGCAGTGCTGGGGCAGTGGTTGGGCTCAATGTACTTAGAGAGCCTTTCCCAACTAAATGATCTGTGTGTTTCTTGTTGGGGAAAGCAGAGCCCAGAGAAATGAGATTCTTGGGAAAAAAGCTCCTGGTAAAGCATCAGGTGACTGCAGGGACTCACCTGTTGATCAGCTGCTTCTGTTTCTGCCATCAGATCTCAGGCTGGGCATTGGCCCTGGGAGCTGTGGCAGCCTCAGCAGGACAGAGCTGGGCTGGGGCAGGCACAGATCCCTGGGCTTGGTCAGCAGCCTGCCTGGATTTGGGTGTGCTCAGAGAGTTTATTGGGCACCTTTTCAAGAATCACTAACCTCACCCACTGGTTGAGGCTGGAAGGGATCTCTGGGGTCCAGCTGGTCCATGTCCCTTCCTAAGCCCCCATGCAAAGAGCAGATGTGGCTGTGGAGCAGATGGGGATCACCAACATGTGCTCTAAGTGTGTGTCCACAGAAAAAGGAGCCACTGCTCCAAACCAGAGGGCACTGCCAGCAGCTCTCATACTCAGGACAAGCCTGCTCAGCACAGGAGTGAAGCCTGTGCTCCCCAGGGGCTGCAGGGAGGTGGATCCATCCCTGATGGGCTGTGCTCCCTCTGGAAGTTGCTGTGGAGTTCAGCTGGGATTTGGTGGAGTAAAGATGCTGCAGGTTGTTGTGGATACCTGTTTGATGGCAATGTTTGGCTTGTAACTGTTTGCTACCAGCTCTCACCAGAGCCTGTGGGATCTGGAGCAGTGTCTTGCTCAAGGAGGAGTTGCAGTGCCAAGGAGTTGGCAGCATGGAGCCTGTTTCATCTGCCTGAGGCTCCCAGCCCTGCCCATCCTCTCTGCACTGCCTGCTCCAGGGTCACAAAGCCTATTAGTTGTTTAAATTAGGGCTATTTATAGCTCTGGAGCCACAAATATCTCAG